TTTTTTTTTTTTTTTTTTTGGTGGAACCGGGAATTGAACTCAGGGAAGCACTTATTCTACTGAGCTATCTCCCTGACCATATATGGTTTCTAGAGACATAGAAATCATACTAACTGTAAGTATTTGTTTGTGTGCAGGGTAGCCCAGTTCACCTAGCTGGTCTTCAGCCAGCTTTTTAGGGCTGAGGCCAGGACCTAAATCCATATGCTGAATAGAAAGTTCCTGGCATTTTGCGCTTAATCCAGTTGCTCCAAGGCCCATTTTTCACCTTCATCCTTTAAGGTTATCCATCTGGGTCTCCTGAGAGCTACACACACACACACACACACACACACACACACTCTTCCACTGCCCCTACTCCCAGACCCTCACCCAGCCAGACTCAACAGTATTTTCTCCAGAGGAAGGGAGTCCAGGTTGAGGGATGCTAAGGAATTACTCGAAGCACTTGGCTAAGGTGGGGAAGTACAGGAAGAGAACTGTTAGAAGTACCAATTTCACTGGATCTTTGAAAATGTCAAATGCTTTCTTTTAATTGTTTATAAAGGGAAAGTCATCATCCTCCCACCAAAATGGTCAGCTTCTGGGCTGATTCAGGGACTCAGTCCAGGTTGCCTGCTCTAAGCAGTGTTGGGGTGTTCCAATTTGTATACTTCCCGTTGTCTTTTGAAGAGTTAACTAAACAAGTCCCCTAGTGGAGGGCTGAGGGTCGGGGGGTTCGGGTCATAGCACTAGAACAGAATCCCTGGATGACAGAAATCAGTGTTTCTTCTTTCAGAAGGTCTGCCAGCATCTCTTCCAAAGAGCCCCAGTTGGCACCTGCACCGCTGTCTCCCCTGCCGTCTAGGGTGGGCTCTACAGATCTCAGCGCACCTAACTGCCAGGTCTCACGTTCACACCCAGCGTCCCAGGCCCGCTCCCCACTCTGCGAGTGGTTCAAGCCGTCCCGCGGGAGCGGCCCCCACCTCTCACCGAGGCTCCGGCGGGCGCCGGGGCGCAACGCTGGAGGGCTGAGGCGACGCGCTGAGGCCAGGAGGCAGGCGACCCTCGCGGGCGGCAGCGGGAACTGCGGGTGGCACCGCACCCCCGGGAGGTGGTGGCAAGGGCAGCGCCAGCCTCTCTTCTTCGCCTGAGGTCACAGAGCAGTCCTGTTCGGGTTCCGCGCCTCCGCCATCCGCAGTCGTGAGCCCGCCGCTGCCACCGCGCTTCTTGTCTTCCTCCTTTTTCCACTTCATGCGGCGATTTTGGAACCAGATCTTGATGTGCCTCTCGGTCAAGTTCAGCATCACCGCCAGCTCCACGCGGCGCGGCCGCGAGATGTACTTGTTGAACAGGAACTCCTTCTCCAGCTCCAGCAGCTGCGCGCGTGTGTAGGCGGTCCTCGTGCGCTTGTTCTCCTCCGGCTCGGCCGCATAGGCGCTGCTGCCTGGGGGCGACACAGCAGTGAGTGTGGCCGCGGGACGCCCGGCCCTACCACGCAACCCGACCCCCCAGCCTTGTCGAAGGAGCTCCGGGACTCCTACCCTTCCAACAGCTACAGCCGGGCCACCAAGCCCAGCCACTCGTTACACTTGGACGCCAAAGGTGCTGGAGCTCTCTCGCCAGTCAGCGATGGGCTCCATCCATGGTTCTTTTGTTTTTATTTTTCTTGCGTGAGACAGGGCCTCGATGTGTAGCCTAGGCTGGCCCCAAATTCATTGTCTTCCTGCTTCAGCCCTGTAAATGCTGGGATTACAGGTGTGCGCTCCAAAGCCCAGCTAAGGAGAGGTTGGTTCCTGGATGCATTCATTTAACTGTTTTTGGGTTGATGCCCATTAAATCCATATAATAGCTGGGTGTATCCAAGAGCATAATCCCAGCATTCTGGGAGGCTGAGGCAGGAGGATAGCAAGCTGAAACTCAGCCCAGACAACATAGCAACTTAGCAAGACCCTGACTCACAAATCAAGCAAGATGAAGTAAAAGTCTTGGGTTCAATGTTCCATACCAGAGGAGAGGCAAGCATATAACGGATGTCTACATTGGCTTCATTCTAGGAAAGCAATGTTATTCCTTTAACAGAAGATTTTAAATAACCTTTCCCAAGCTGGGTTGTAGCAAGAAATATATTCCAGATCACTATTCTGTCCATACAGGAATGCACAACTGACAGACACCTCGAGGCATAAAATCATCTTTCCCATGTATTATGCTATTTTCCCAATTTTTTCTATTTTATTAAAAAAGATATTGATCTCAGCCCAATAAACTGACTTCATAGCCCACTAACGTGTGCCACCTGGGCCTGTGCAGTTCTGAAACTTTTTTTTTATATATGGCCATGTTATTTTTCTGTTTCTATTGTAGTCGGCCCCAATCTGAGATGTTGTACATTCTCTATAGTTGTCATTTTAACCTCAGTTTGCTGCTTGCTTGTGTGGAAGAGGAAACCAGAGCAGGATGCTGTTAACCCAGCATCCTGTATCCTGTGCCCCAAACCCTGGCAAAGGTAGAGAGAGAGGGCTGGTCAGGGGACCAGAGCCCAGCTTCGGGTGGAGAGCTGGGGAGGAGAGGTTAATGGGGCACAGTGAGCCTCCTAGGCAGCAACAGGGAGGCCCAGCAGGTGGGGAAAGAGCAACAGCAAACTTGCATTTGCAGGGACGAGAGGTCTCTGTCTTTTCTGAGTACTGGCTGCACCCTGATGGTGCACTGTGGCAGGCCATGTGCCACCAAAGCTCCCTGACTTGGGGAGGCTTAAACTGGTTTGTCCTTAGTGCAGAGGTAGGAAACTTTTGTCCTGTGATTGGAGGCCAAGCCTTTAAGGAGTCCAAAGAGATTCTGTGCAACAAGGGATGAGATGGGGATCTATCTATCTATCTATCTATCTATCTATCTATCTATCTATCATCTATCTATCTATCTACCTTTCTAATTTTTTGTGCAGGGTATCACTATGCAGCTCTGACTTGTTAGAGATTAATATTGCTATGACATCTGAGTGGGTTTCCCCCCAGGCCAAGAGGAGGTTCAATCCCTAGTTAGTAAGAGCAAACCTGTTGGGGGCAGTGGTGGTCCCTGGCCACGAGAGACACTGAAGTGGCCTTTAGGTAATACTGTTAAAGGGTGTTTACAATTGTTAAATCCACCCTACAAGGTTTCCAGCCTCCTGCCCTTGGCTGTCTGCTGCTAAGAGTGGAGCTGTTGGTGCGAGGAAGTCATGGACCCTGGTTCTGGGCCCTTCTCTAAGGCATGGGGTAGAGTGGTTTAGGTGCATGAGGAAACCAGTGTGGTTGAAGCCTCCTTTGTAGGTGGAGGTTTTTGGAAGTCTATGTGGTCTTTAGTCTTTCATATCACTTGCTACTGTGAAAGCCTAAGGGTCATCTCAGACATCCTCTGGAGTGAAACCCTACTGGGTACAGACAGATGGGTTTCCCAACATAGAAGTCTGGCTGGTTGGAAGGTTTCCTGAGAGCACTTTGAGCTCGGGGCTCTGCAGTACCCTTCAGATGGCTCCAAGGAGGAGAGAGGTGAAGTGGGACCCTTCCTGGCAGGCAAGTTTGGTGGGTTAAGAGGCCAAAGGAGGCCTCTCCAGCCTTGTGGGCTTCCCAGAGGGAGGGGTAGCCTTCTTAGGACATCCCTCATCCCCAGGCAAGGTTGTGGTCTTCTTAAGAGTTAAACTTTTATCTTCTGTTTTTTTTTTGGGTCCTCCAGAGCCCAAGCTCTACCAGCCCAAGGGTAGATGGACTCACTTTGAGGGAGAAGGTGAAATTACCCCACTTTAGAAAGCTTCTCTTAGGTTGTTCCTGTCTCTTGTCCTGCGGAAGGCCCAGTTCAAGAGGGCAGGACCAGGGCTGCTAAAAACTTGCCGCTGGGGGAAGGCAGTCCTAGAGAGAAGGCATTCCAGGAAAGATGCTGTCAGCCTAGAGCTCCTGGGTGGAGAGGCCCTTTTTCTGCCTCCCAAGAATTCTATACTTCTAGAAACAGGAGGCTCTCAGTACTGGGCTTACAGGCTAGATAAATATGTAGAGGCACTTCTGCAGGCCCTGGGGCCTCCTATTGCTCTGGTTTTGTGCTTTTGCAGGTGTGTAGGTGATCAGGTAACTGCAGAAGCCTGGTTTAGGCCCATTCCTACCACAGGAGTTTTACCCAATGAGAAAGGGAACTAGAAGGAGACAAGGCTTCCTTCGGTCTCCTCTTGGAGTCCCTGGGTTAGTATCAGGCATGGCTGTCTGCACAGGCTCTGAGACAGGGTGTTTACAATTCCAAAATTCTTGGGGCATGCCAGCTGGAGCTTCTTTCTCCCATTTCTGTCAGTTAAAGGCACAGAAAAGGCAACTATTTGCAGTGCAGGTGTGACCAGAAGTGACTGCAGCACGGAAGTGATAACATTGTGTAGTGGCTGGGCACAGGCCCGCCGCCGGAACTCAGAGCTCACTGCCAGTTTGGGCAGGAAAGAGACCCTGGGCTGCTCGGCATCTCTCCACCTTCTGCCCTGGGAAAGATATTACCTCCTGTGACTAGAGCCCAGAGATCCCGGATTCTTACTCCCCTGAGCTGGCTTTGCAGGTAGGACACCTCTCTCTCTCTGAAAACTTAACTTCCTGGGACAAGTGAAGAGACCCCTTTAAATAGCTGGTCAAAAATGAGGTAGCATCTCAGATGCCTCTCCCAGCTGCCTGGCTCTGAGGGTGAGCTGCCCAGCCAGCCTTGCTCTGGCCCGGTGAAGCCCTTGTCTGGCCCTGGTATCTCCCTGCTCACCTCTACCCCTTACCAGGACACAGGAGGCTTATAAGTTTTTTTTTGGATGGATGCAGTTTTCCTTTCTTTTCCTGCCTTTCTACATCCCCCTTCCCCCATTACACATGCCTGAGAAGGCCTGTGCTCCTCCAGTGAAGCAAGGAACTGAGAGTCCTGCAGCTCAAAAGGAACTCTTAGGCCTGGATCCTCGGCCTTGCTACCTTCTTTGATGGCCATTACCCAGTCCTGGGCTGGAGAAAGATCCAGAAGGTCCAAAGCCCTAAGTGGGCTTCTGGGGCTAAGATGGCCTGAGACCACAGGGAAGGAAGGGGTTTAAGCTCCCTGGTAGCGAAAGATGCCCCCAGATGGAGCCAGAAAAGTGCTTTGGAGCAGGGTGGTCTTGCCGGCTCTGTGGTATACTTTAGTCTGACTTGTGTTGTTCAGGAGGGCTGGGGACAACATAGAACAGAAGCAATCACTGGGAGAGAGCCCAGAGGGCTGCTTACGGGTAGAGGCAGATGAGCCCAGGGTGGGAGAGAAGGACGGAAAAGGAGGATTACCTGCCCACTGGCCTTTCCACGCGTGAGCTTTGGTGGACTTCATCCACGGGAATGGTAGCTGAATGCGGCTGGGCTCTTCCAGGGGCCCTGGCTCTGTTCCATCCGTGAACGGTCCAGCAGGTGGGTGGGAGAGCGCGAGCTGAGCAGGGAGGTGGTGGTGTAGGTTCGACACAGCCACTGCGGGGTCGTCGGGGAGGGCGGGCATCTCGTATGGGGAGATGTCGGTGGGACTCCCCTGTTCCAGCGCTCCCAGGGCACCAGGGAACGGGGGCGGCGGCGGCGGCGGTGGCGGCGGTTGGCGGCCCATATACAAACATGCGGGGGGGCTGGCACTGAACTCTGGCACGGGGCCCCTCTGGAACGCACACGGGTCTCTGTAAAGCTGCGCGGCTGCATAGTACTGCTCCTCGCCGTTCATGGTCACTGCCCAGGGTTGGGGACCAAGTGCCAGGAGCAGGGAGCTGCAGTCAGGACGTGGCGCCGTGCTGCGCTCCCACTCCCCGGCCGCCCCTGCTCGCTTTGACAGCTCTCCACTGTTCTCAAAGGAACCTGTGGCCGGAGGGGACAGGCCAGCCGGCCGCCAAGTCATAGGCTCCGGCTCGCCCCACGTGGCTCAGCCTGGGGACATTATTGGCCTGGCAGACTGCTTAAGACAGGAGCAGGCAGCCGCGAGCACCTGCGTTTGTTTCAATTTTCTCTCTCAGCTGTACACACCTGTATAAGCAGCTGGCGGTGCTCTCGGGCTGGGCAGCGGCCGGGGCGGGGGAGGGGGATATTAGAACTTCATTTATAGAGTCATTTTCATCGCGGTTTAAAGATTTCTATTTCCCTTGCATCTTTTACAATGTGCATATTTTCACTTTCATTGGCATAATTTATCATTTGGCATATTCTGAGGTTGCATGCTTTTTACCTGCTGACAAATACAGTCAGAGAAGTTTGCAGACCTCAGTTCTCTAGACCAGACGCAGTCGTTTCTCTCACTTATGAAATTAGTTGGCAAATATCAGCAATGACAGGAAACAAGCCCAGCACCAGCATTCGTTGCATATTGTTATGCCTGCCTGTGCTCCTGGGACTTTTAGAGTGTAAGCTCTAACCTCACAGAAGCAATCGCAGTAGTTTTTCTTTTTTAATTGAAGGGCACATTATGGTTTCAGGTAGTGGGGGCTCATCTGGCCAACTTGGAATGAATGTACTTTGCCAGTTGTAGGAAGGCGAAAGATGCCCACCGTTCTCTCAGTTGAGAGGCAGGGCAGAGGCTGGCATCAGATTTCCAGATGGTCTGAAGAGGCTGGCTGGAGTCTGCAGTTGGAGAACTTTCTCTTTTTTCCACTCCACTGAAATAAGAGACCCGTGGGGCTAGGGAGGAGAGGCATTTAGAAAACAAAGTAAGAACGCTGCATTTGCGCCATAACTTCCGTGCTCGGCTTCAATTCATTTAGTAATTCTGGCTGCTCTGGGATCCTGATTCAAGCAGAGTTACTTTTTCCGCACTTCCTGGTGAGGGTGGATTACTTTTTGTAGCCCCAGAATGGCCTCCGAGATGATCGCATTCCTCCAATCACTAGGATTTTGGAAAAACTGGATGTCTATGCCGAGAAACTTCAGCAAAAGAGCATGAACCACAAGCAACCAAGCGAGAGAGAAATCGCTGCAACCTGCCTGTCCTGAACTATAAGCTGGACATCTAGACTTTTGCGAGATTTTAATGTTCTTTGTGTACAGGAAATCCAACTGAGGCCTTTGCGCTTGCCAGGAAGACGCTGTACCTCTGAGCTATATCCCCAATATTTGTGTTTTTAATGCAGAATAGATTGCCCTATTCTGCTACTCGTTTTAATTTTCATTGAATTATAGCTCTCGGCTGGATTGCCGGCGCGGTGGTTGATGTCAGGCTGGGGAGAGGTGTGCAGAAGTCTGACGCTGCTGACCAGGCCTTCACCGAAGGGCAGGCCGAGGGAAGCTCGCGGGAGGGGGGTGGGGTGCGATTTCTTAAGGGAAAAGGGCCACCTGTGGTCGTGAAAGGCCGTGGGACCCGCACACCTAATCTCTCCGCGTCCGTCAATGAGCCCATTGTTCGCAGTGGCCGCGGAGGAGCCGACGCTATCGCCCGGGCGGTGAGGGACCACATCGATCAGGACAGGACCGGAGGGGGTTGCGCAGCCAGAGCGTGTTGACCCTCGGAGATAATCTGCCCAGTGGCTGAGGGTTGACTTGGCGACACGATTATGAGCGGACCTCGAGCTCTGCTCCGGACAAAGATCGTCCACCTTCCTGCTCCTCCCGCTGGCTCGCTGACTCGCTCGCTTTCCCTGCTCTTTCCTCTTCTCCCTGGACGCCGCTCCCCAGCTCGCCCCACGCCCGCCCAACCCTTTGCTCCCCGCCTTGCTCGCCACCTTTAGAGTATTTGCTTTGCACTTCGGCTCTAATTGCACGTTTCTGTAAAGTGGTCTCCGTTTCGATGCTTCATTTGCTCCCATTTAATATTTTTGCTCGGCCCTGCAAAAAGGAAAGAAGCTCTTAGAAAAGTAAATCCACTCTGCGCGCTGAGGGGGAAAAAAAGGGTACCTGGACTGAGCAAAGGTGTGGGGTGGACGGGAAGGGGTGGTGTGCAAGGGACGGACTTCTCACCCTCGCAGTGAGCGTTTCTGGCGTTCTCTAAAGAAAGGGCCCCGGAAACAAAGGCCAAATTGCCCTTTCTTCTTCTTGGGTAAAACCAGGCTATCAGGATTTTTTGATTGGGGAATTCTGGCGCGCAGGCACAGGAAACGCACATCGGGGAGCACCCGGGCTGAGCGCCTGCCGTGGGCCCGAGCTGGACGCGGCCGGGTCGGCCAGAGCCGCCAGTCTCACATCACCGGGAAATGCGCTTCCTCTCTGCTCCCGCTGCTGCCCCCCGCAGCCGCCGCGATACCGAGCCATTAGGCCAGCGCCTGCCCGAGCCATTTAACAGCGCTCTTATGGATAAATAAACAGAGAAGGCTGTAAACCAATTATAGTGTGGACAGTGAAAAAGTCGTTTATTAGCAGGACGTCCTGATAGCCCTCACTGATATGGAAGGTCCTCGCCTGCCCTCTTCTCCCTTTCCCTGGATCCACGGTTTGCTTCCCCAGCACGGGTTACCCCGCTTTGGAAGCGGGGCCACTTCCTCAGTCTGGAAGGCATGATAAGAATTTTTAAGCTACTACGTCCCTTATGAAGGGGAAAAATGAACCTCATTTAATTCCACGGATACTTTTAAGTGGAATTTAGCTTACTGCAACATATTCATATAAACAATAAGTTGGCTGTTAAAAAATTTAAATTACATCCTGAGTTGAAAAACTAAAGCAGACATCGTGATACACTTAATGAGAATACACTTTTCATAAACGGCTTTTGTTTTGTCTTGAGACAGTTTCTCACTGTGTAGTGCAGCCCGGACCCGAACTCACTACATAGGCCAGGCAGTCTTGCAACCCATGGTCCTCACCCCAGCCTGCCGAGAGCTGGAATTACAGTTGTATACCACAAATCCCACCTTCATGATGGACTTTTAAATTTCATTTCATTTTTGCCATATTGGGAATCACTAGGGATTGAACCTAGAATTTATTGTATGCTAAGGCAAGTGCTCTGCTACTGGACTGTGTCTTGAGACTTTCAAAAAGTTATTTTGAATTTCAGCCTAGTTAAGTTGCCCAGGCTGGCCTTCTAACTGACGATCCTGCTGCTCAGCCTGCTGTGCCACCACTCCAAACATAATTGACTTACTTTGTGTACCTGTCGTGGGCATTGTTTTGTTTTCCACGGGAGGAATCATTTCTTTCTTCTTTTACTTTTTGTAAATCATGAGTCTGGTGTTTGGGCCTGAGAAGAGCCAGGGAAAACGCCTCTCCTTTTGACTGAATGGTTCTTCATCAATTTTTAGTGCAAAACAGTGGAGAGTCGAAAGTGTTTCCCACATACTTTTTTTTTTTTTAGCTTTTATTGATTCACTTTCTTTCTTTCTTTTTTTACATAGGTACAAACCTCTCTTTTTTTTTTAAAAAGTCAACAGAAAATGGAAATATACTTTTTAAAGCTTCTAATACTAGAAGACATCATACAATGTCTTCTAAATAAATTTTAAGTCAAGGATACAGTATAGATTTTATTTTATTTTTTATTAATTAATTAATTATTTTGTGTGTGTGTGTGTGTGTGTGTGTGTGTGTGTGGCCAGCTCAGCCCACCTGGGGGCAGGGATGGCTGGCATGTGGTGCTGGGGGATTGAACCGTGGTCCTTGTGCTTTGCTAAGCTTGTTCTAAGTAGGTACTTTAGACCACTGAGCCATCTCACCAGCCTCAAGTATAGATTTTAGAACAAAAATTAAGATTAAGCAATATTCAGAAAATTAAATGTTTCAAAACAATTGAACTAAGAAATGATTCACTTTCTTTTGGGACAGGGTCTTCCTAGATAGTTTAGGCTGGCCTCGAACTCATCAGGATCCTCTTGCCTCAGCCTGCTGAGCACTGGGATTACAGATGTGTGCCATCATGCCTGGTTATTTTCCACATTACTTAACATCCCACCTTTGTACCCATAACTGAGATTAAAATCAAACTTATTCAGACAGTTGTCTGATTCTGTACCTCGCTGTACTCTGAGTGGAAGGTGCAATAAGGAGGCTCTGCATACTCCCCCAGCAGTGCACTGGTCAGTGCTTGCTTGGGGTGGGGGGAGACATCAGCCCCTTCCTCTTAGGATTTAATCCTCAGGTCATTTCAATTCACCTTGTAGCCAAAAGGAGAAGTACGAAATAAAAGGTGAGACCTGAAGATTTCAGGTCACCTGCTGTTGCTCCTGTGTGGTTTTGGGCCCCACTCCTCTGGCTCCTTCATCCAGATTCAAAGTCACCAGAAATCCAATTTCTTGCTCTTTCAAATTTAAGTCTTTCATAACCTGCTCCCCCCAACCAGCTCTTTATATTTATTGAAATTTCAGTTTTGCTTTCTATCCTCCAACCCACTGCTTCCTGGGATTAAATTTTTGGTCTCTTGGGAATCTCCCCATACCTCGAGATTCCTGGTACAGCTGAAAGAAGCTATAATACACACTACTTGGTCTCTCTCAGCTTTCTTCAACCTTGCTATATTTCACACAATTTATTGGTGCGAAGGAATAATAATTTCATTAGGATTTATTAGCCAAACAGGGCTCTTACTCTGTGCCTGCTCGCAATCTCTTTGTATGACAACTCAGATGTGGAAATACATTCTGGCTTTGATATGGGAGAGAAGGCCCTTAGAAGCTGTATATACCTGTTTTTCAAATCTAGTTTTGCCAAGTGCAAGTTATAAAATGCCACTAAGCTCCCTTGTGCTCATTTACAAGACTGAAATAACACCATTGCTCCAGAAAATGCATCTATTGTACAACAGCAAAACAG